GAGAGAGAGAGAGAGAGAGAGAGAGAGAGAGAGAGAGAGAGAGAGAGGAGATGGAAGAGGAAAGCTGAGACTCGCCTGGACTACAGACGGCGAGGGGATGGTCAAGTGAGCGTGGATGATAAGTCAGGGCAGGCCACAAGAGGTGGGAGAAGCTCCTCCCTTCCCTGTGGCTCAGGACCAGGGAGACAGACTTCTACCCACTCCCTTGATGTCTGCCCAGACCCTCTTTACACCCTCCCCCTACCCAGTCTCTCCATCCCCCTTCCTTCTCTGTGCCCATCCCTAGAATCAGCTCTCAGGGTCCCTCTCCCTCCCTCCGTAGCAGCCTCCTCAGTTTCCCCCTTGCATAAGTCTTCCACTTTGGTCGTGGTTCCTAGGATGTGTCTACCTTTCCTGCCCACAGTCATCCCCAGCACCATTCAGGGTCTGACTAGGAAACCTGACTTTACCCATGCTACTGTTGGCTGCCTAAGGGTTGTCCTAGAGCCCCAGACATTCACGCTCACAACATGTGCACAAACAGGGCAATGCTGGCCAGTACCTCTGTAGGAGAGCCGCAGCCGAGGCACACTGGGGCTGGGACCGGGACCAGATCTGTGGCTGTCCACATGGAACAGGAGGCTCCCCAGGAGGCAGCAGATGGCCCAAGCGGAGGGGGCCATGCTGGGAAAAAAAATGAGCTGCCCTCTGAGCCTGCTGCTGGATGTAGTTTGCTCTGCTGCCACCAGGCCAGCCACTTATAAGGCAGTGGCTCCACCCAATGCTGGGCGGGGTGGGGGGGGAGGAGAGGGAGAGGAAGAGCGAAGCGCTCCAAGCCTGCCATCTACCTGCAGTTTCTCCGGCCACTTCAGCTGGCCCATTCAATGCCTGTACAGCAAACTGGTCTGCTCCCCCTTGGGAGACTCTCAGGAAGCTGAGGTGTAGACAGTTTGAATGACAGACATTCAGGCTCCAGTGAAGTGGCAAAGGGAAGGGATAACCTGAAAAAGAGGTCAGGAGTCAGGTGAGGGTTTGGCTTCACTCCCTGCCTCTCCAGAGACGTCCTTATCACTAGCCCTGAGCCAGCCAGGTATCCTTGACCTGGCTGTCAAGCTCCCTCCACTGTGCCTAAGCTACTGTGGGTAGAGGATCCATTTCTAACTTCATCCTGGTAGGGATGAAGGTCTAGCTATACTTCATAGGTCTAAGACCATCTGAAAATACCTATATGTACATTACAGTTCATAACATTAACAAAATGACAGCTATGAAGTAGCAATGAAAATAATTTCATGGTTGGGGGTCATCACAACATGAGGAACTGTATTAAAGAGTCACAGCATCAGGAAGGTTGAGAACCACTGAACTAAGGTCTCCTACCCAGTTCTCCCCAGGCTCCACAGCCCCTTTCTGAATCTACAAGGCTCTAACTCAGCTCAGCAGGCTTGCTCTGAGGTAAGGGACAAGGTTTATTTGGTGTTTAGGAGAACTTCTATTGTCTTGCTTCCTTCAGGCCCCAGTCCTTTAGAGGCCCAGGGGCCAGAGCATAGCAGGTCGGTAGTGAGTTCTTCCCAAGCTCACAGGTTCCATATTCATGGCTCTGCTCATACAGGGTTCACTGTTCTGCCCTAAACTCCAGTGTGGAGTGTGTGAAAAGGAGCCAGAGAGGAGATGCACCAAGGAACTGAATCTGGGTAAGTGGGAACCCCCAAACCCTCCTTTCAGAGCAGTTCCTGGACCTCCTGCCTCCACCTCTCACCTTCCCCTGCCCTGAACTCTCTTTTCAGAACCCATGATCTTCAAAGTTAGAACGCTCAAGATTATAGAAATACTTGTAGGGTGGACCTCCCAGATGGAATGGCCTGAGACTTCAGAAGGTTGGCATCAGGATGTTCACCACCAACCTTTCAAAGAGAGTCACAGCTAAGATCACAGAAGGCTGAGAAAAAGCTCGGCTCAACCCTGGAACCCTCTCTTGCTGCTGGTACTACTGGAGGGTTAGAGTCCTGGGACCCTACCTCCCGATCCTATTTCTTCTTTACAGAGGAAACAGATTAGTCTCTGGCTCGGCACAAGAAGGACCCATGGCTTGCAACTTCACCTCCCTGTTCCCCTGGACCCTAGAACATTAATATGCTGGGGGCTTCTTACCTGGATAGATCAGGGGCTGCTCAGAGACACCAGCAACTGGCCCCATTCCACCTCTGCCTCTGAGTCTACTGAAGAACCCTAACCAATGGCCTTTATTTCCTGGATCTTCCTTCTCCTGAGGCAAGGACCAGCCATCCTGGGTATGAACTTACAAACTGGAGAACAATGCCTGTACAGGGGCTGCTATAGTGGTGGTTCTGTCCTGGGATCTCAGTAGGGTGGAGACATTCTGCCTCCAGCTCCCTGGGGAAATGTTGTGGTACCTAGACCAGGCTGAGAGGCCTTATGTCTTGTTTGAGACTGAGCTGAACAGCCAACCCTTCAGCCAGAGGGTGGCCCTCAGCTGAGGCTGTGAGCAGGAGACCAAACCACTTTTTGATCCACCAGCCTTGTGGTCTCTACTCAGCCAGCCCTTTAGCTGTGGCTGTAGGATGGGCTGTGTCTGCCCAGACAGGCATGTGAGGTAAGCAGGCTACCTCACATCACAGAAGAAGCCTGGAAATCCAGACTCAAAGTGTGTGGACTCAGTCAGATTTCTCTACCTTTCACCCCCTCTCCATCCCTCCCTTCTCTTTCTGTTCCTCAGTTTCCCAGGCTAGAGAACAGGCTAGAGGGCTTTCCTAAAAGGCCCTTCCTGCCTTCTGCAGATAATATCCGGAAAGGCACCCTGAAGGCACAGATCAGCAAGCCTAGCACAGACACCCCATGCCACCTAATGGACAAAGGTGGAACTTCATGACAGAGCAAAGGTGCCCATCTATATTTGTGCTGAAATCATCTCCTGAGGAATCCAGCAGTTACCTAGGCACCCGAAAGATGCTCCCGTGGTTTCTTCTAATGGGAAAAACCTTAAGGAGGCTTCATGGAGAAAGCACTTCCTGGGCAAAGGATGACGTAACTCAGCAGTAGGGAGGACAGAATTAGGTGATGCACACAAGTGCGGTAGCCTTAGCTTCAGGGAGCTGGGGCTCCCTGGGTTGATTTATATGTGATGTGTGTGTTCCTACAGCAGGTGCCAGCAGGTGAATACACACAGGGTCATATAGCCTAGCTATTCCTGGGTAGAATTCTGAGGTAGTAATGCCGGAAGGATCGATTCCCCTTCTGTCCTTAACCAACATGGCCTTTTATAGAATTCCCTTCAGCAGATGGGTCACCATTTCCTTCATCTCTCCCAGAACCATTCCTGCCTCTGGCAGTTGATGAGGAGAGAGCCAGGGTGGGCAGAGACATTCCCTCTCTCCCTAATGCTTCTGGTTAGTTCTCATTTCTAAACCCCAGGCATATGGCTACTAGGGGCAGTACTAGGCAAAGAGGCAGCGGTAGCAGGCTCAGCCATCCTCCTCCTTCCACCACAGTGGGCTTGATTCTGTTCCTTTCCCATCAGCGCTCACCACCATCACCGTCTGTCTCCCACACATACCTCAGACGCTCTTCGAGTGGTCACCCAGGCCATGCCTTCCTTCCTCTGGGTTCCACCACTACACTCAGTCCCCACACCCACACTGCCATCTGTACCAGTCTTTCTCTCATGGAGGCCACTGGCCTACCCCCCCCAACACACTTTGAGTCAAGCCTCACTCTCCTTGCCCAGTTCAAATCTTGGGCCTAGCACTATGACCCAGCCTTGTGAACAATGGTGACTGAGCTGCTCTGCTTCTTTGTTACCTGTGACAGGTTGTTCTCATCAGCAGACCAGTCATCCCCCACCCATCCTCAGACAGCCCCCTTTTTCCCTCAGCCCCTGCCTCTTAATCTCTGCCTTTGCCCCTTCCTCTGTGCCTCTGCCCCTTCCTCTGTGCCCCTGCCCCTTCCTCTGTACCCCTGTCCCTTTCTCTGTGCCCCTGCCCCTTCCTCTGGTTTTGGGCTTCTGTCCACACCATTCACCACCTCCCCTGCTTCTGCTCGCTTCCTTCAGGCTCCTCTACTCTGGCTTCCACCCCACTGCTCCACTAGGACCCTCCCATGGGATAGCTAAGACCTAGGAGGAGGGAAGAGGGAGGACTCCAATCCTAAGACCCTGAGCCGTCAGCTGTTGTTCAGGCTGTTTCACCCACTGACTCTTGTCCATGTGTCCTTCCAACTGTCCATGTGTCCTTCCCAGCTGCTCATTTTAGATTCAGGAACTTGGTCTCTACCATTGTTCCCGGGGGTGTCATTTATGGACAAAACTAGCAAAGGGTCTCCTGCTCTGCTGACACCTCCCTTCCTGGTTCTCACTCTGCCCCTTCTGCTCTGTCCATCTGGTTTCCGTCTTCCCACCAGCCTGTCGCAGGATCACCTCAACTTTATTCTCTAGCTTTCTTTTAATTAAGTCATCGGGAATGCCCTTCCTAAATTTAACCCGAGGAAACCCACCAGAACTCCAATAAAGTCGACAAAAGAACCATCCTGGGAGCTGGAGAGATGACTATCTAATCTGAGTCTGATCCCACAGCCAGCTTAATAAAATGAGTGTGATGGCACACTCTTGTAATTCCAGCACGTGGGAGGCAGGGACAGGAGATCCCTGGGATGCACTGGACAGTCAGGCTAGCCTAGTCAGTGAGTTCTAGGTCAAGGAAAGACTCTGTCTCAGACAATAAGCTGGACAGAACCTGAGGAATAATACTCTGAAGCTGACCTCTGGCCTACACACAGACACACATACAGACACACAAACAGACACACATAAAGACACATACACACAAACACACACAGACACACACATAGATACATATGGAGACACATAGACACATACACACACATAGATAAACATGGAAACACACACAGAAAGACACATAAAGATACACACAGACACACACACACACACAGACACACACACACACACACACACTGAGTTCAAGGCCAGCCTGATCTAAAGAGGGAGTTTCAGGACAGCCAGAACCACATAAACACTATCTAACTCAAAAAAAAATTTTAAGTTCAAGCCAGTGTAGTTTTTACATCTGAAGTCACAACACTTGGGAGATGAGGTAGGAGGGTAGCAAATTTGAGCCTAACCTGAACTACATTGAGAGACCTTGTCAAATTCTGGGAAAGCTGGCTAAAGTACAGTAGAGAGCCATTGAATATTTTTGCCCTTATACATCTGTGTATGTGTGTAAGCGTGGGAAGGGGCAAAAGCCTGCCACTATGTGTGTGAAGGTCAGAAAACAACTTGCAAAATGACTCCCACCGACCCTCTGAGACAGGCTAGTTCTCTGTGTGTCAGGGAAGGAACAGAACACCAAAAAGTCCACTGGGTCCCAGGGATTAGACTCAGGTCATCCCGCTTGGTCGCAGGTGCCTTTACCCACTGAGGCATCTCCCTGGACTGAAAATGGGAGTATTTGTGCCATTTCTGCAACATGTTTGAAAGTCCAGAATTTCACAAAAAGATAAATACCAAAACTGAATACAAAGAAACATCTATCCCCCAAACCTCTGATCTAAACCCGTGGCTGCCTCGGCTTCCATACCTCAAGAAATGTCACTATGACCAAAACTCGAAGGGCCACCCTGGAATCCCTGGTCCTCTCAAGTTCAAGCCTTCAACAATTTCTTTTACTAGTTTCAAA